GTATTAAATTATGCCCAAGGGTCACCAGAAAATTATAATGTAAATGAAATGCAAGTTATCCACTTTTGAAATTACTATTACATCTTGACTGACTGATCAAGATTTAGGGGCCTGTAAATAGAGACAACGTGATTATTTCTGACTTCATACCTCATGTAGAGAGCTGAGCCCCCAAGGGGTATGAGTAAGCGATAGGATGCAACTATTTTATTGCAACAATTTCTACAGAAGTGGACCCTCTCCTGGGGGGGCCTTAAAGTTACTCCAAATGCGCTTCAGATCAGAAGTATACAGAATTATACATTAAAGTAGCTATAAAATGTAAGCTGTTATTGGCATTAAAACTGAATAAGCTTCATTTAGTAACCATTCATCAAAGCTTCATGTTTTTAGATACACTACATCATTGCTAAATTTTCATTGTTTAGTGAAATCATGTTTTTAAAAAGTGCTTTTTTATAGATTAACTGACACTGGCTGGTGCATGCTCATTTGAGTCAGCAAATCCATCACATACCAATTTTACAACTTTAAGGTACTTTGCAGCTTTTATTTTCTTCAATATGAATGAGACAATAAATTAATATCAGACAATTAAGTTTAATGCTGTTAAAATAATGACTACATGAAAATTGGAAGGCTCAGTTTATAAGTATTGAAATATAAATGCATATAAAATTACTCTGAGGGCAGTAATGCTAGACTGTAAATGTGCCACCTTGAGTTGTTGGTATTGCGCTTGATATTATGGGAATTGTTTCAATGAGTTTGTTCTGGTGCTTGGGGAATCTCATCCACTGGCACTGCAGATTGGAAAATTGTATGCAGTGTCCCTATGTTATTCTGATGTATATTTGAGCGGGTGGAACTCCCCATTCCCAATGCATATTTAAAAAGCAATCCAATATATGATAATGTGGTGTTTCACTAACAAAGGACTAAAATTGTGAGTTGAACAGTGCAACATTGGAGTAATAGAGGACTCATTAACAACAACTTTATTTTTGCTCATGGGATTTGAACATCACTGACAAAACAGCATTTATTGCCCATTGCGCATTGCCCTTGAGGAGGTGGCAGTCAGCGACAATGATGTTTTCTTTCTGTGTTTGATAAAACTGAATGACTTGCTATACTTGCAGTTCCAAGCCAGTTCCAACGAAGAGTGATAATCGACTCAAAACATTCACTCCGTTTCTCTCTCCCTACTGATGCTGCCAGACTGGTTGTGCTTTTCCAACACATTCTGTTTTTATCTCAGATTTCCATCATCTGCTCTACTTTGCTTTTATTTCTTTGGATCTGGAATCACATGTAGGCTAGGCCAGGTAAGAGTGGCAGATTTCCTTCCCTAAAGGACATTTGTGAACCAGATGGGTTTTTACAACAATCCAGCTGCCTTATTATCATTATTAATAACATTAATATTTTTCCAGGTTTATTCATTGAATTTAAATTGAATTGAACTCATCTCCAGCGCTCTAGTGCAGACGTGTGGATTACTAGCCCAGAAGCGCTAGTGTCCCCATTGCCTGTTTGTTTTCCTATAGATTTCAATGTGTATTCTATTTGTTTACACTGGGAGACCTTCACATTTCCATTTTGTTCCAGAAGATATTGTTGAAAGCAATGAAAAAATCCAAATGTTTGCAGCACTGATTCTATGACTGCCTTATAAAATTTCTCTGTTAATCTTATCCCTCTATTAACTGTACCAAATATCACTCCTGGTAACTTCAATGTGCTCTCCTTGAACAACCAAAATGTCGCATCACAAAATTCTGCAAGAGCTAAACTAAATCTTATCGAGCAACAGAACAACATTAAGGAACAACATTAGGGATCAGCAAAATCACAGTTTCACCAGTAACTGATGCAAAACATATTGATATCATGTCAAAAAAATGACAAGGTTTCCTATTTGTTGGTCAAACAATTTTTGCTTAATTAAAACTTAAGCATTGTTCGAAACTCTTATCCTGTTACAGCCCAAACATATTTGTGCGGTTTGGAAAAATATGATTTTATTTGCTTCCTCTGCTATTCAGAACTGTTCAAGGTTTTTGAGAAGATTTGTAGCTCGGGTTGTTGCCGTAGCCTTTGACTTGCTGGCCGAGCTGCTAAGTTTGTTTGCAAACGTTTTGTCACCATGTTAGGAAACGTTACCAGGGTGCCTCCGTTGAAGTGTCGGTGCTTTGTCCCACTTCTTACTTATGTGCCTCGGTTTGCTGGGGTGGGTGGCATCACTTCCCGATTTGTTTCTTAGCGTTTGGTATGGGGGTCCAGCTCTACATGATTGTTAATGGAGTTCCGGTTTGAGTGCCAGGCCTCTAAGAATTCTCATGTGTGTCTTTGATTGGCTTGTCCTTGGATGCCTATGTTGTCCCAATCGAATTGGTGTCCCTCTTTGTCCATGTGTATTGAAATGAGTGAGAGTTGGTCATGTCTCTTGGTAGCTAGTTGGTATCTTGTAAATAACGTTGGTTCTGTTAGCTGTGGCTGTTGGATCCTTTATTCTCGTCAGTAACTGTCGTAGTGTAGCTGTCGCTTTGTGGGCTACCACGATTTCTAGGGGGCAGAATAATCTGGTGGTCATTTCTGAAATTTCAGATTATCTGCCCCCTCGGAATCGTGGTAGCCCACAAACCGACAGCTACACTGTGACAGTTACTGACGAGAATAATGGATCTGACAATCATAACTGAGAACAAACGTCATTTACAAGATACTGTGCAAAGACTGCCAAAAACATTACATAGGGCAGGCTGGAAGGAAACTAGCCATCAGGATTCACAAACACCGACTGGCCACCAAGAGACATGACCAACTCTCACTCATTTCAATACACATCGACAAAGAGGGACACCTATTTGATTGGGACAATATAGCCATCCTAGGACAAGCCAAGCAAAGACACACATGAGAATTCCTGGAGGCCTGGCACTCAAACTGGAACTCCATTAACAATCAGAGCTGGACCCCATATACCAACCACTAAGAAACAAAACCAGAAGTGATACCACCCACTCCAGCAAACCGAGACACATGAATAACAAGGGGACTGAACTCTGACGCTTCACCAGAGGCGCACAGATGATGTTACCTAGCATGCTGATGAAATGTTTGCGAACAAACTTAGCAGCACAGTGAGCAAATCAACAACCACATTCAGAACTGTATTTTGTAAGATAATTTCAGAGACTGAACCAGATTAATTTAGTAGTTATCTTCTGGAGGGCAACAATCTGTAATAATGTTAAAGACTTGATATCTCTTATTCATCAATTAAGTACATATCTGAAGCAAACAAAAAACACATACCAATGATAATCAGCATCTATAGTTCACAGTCTACCCCTATTTCGAGTGTTGTAGATTATTCCCGTACCTATACAACCATTGGTTGTTTAAACTAGCATTCATGACAGACCAGGAATAGAGCAAGTACACAAAGGTAATGCAACTGCATATGTTTTGCTTTCAAGTTACTTATCTGAGAATTTGTTTCTGTAGCACCACAGATGTGAGCCAGATAACAAAAAGACATTTCATAGTGGAAGCTTGAAAGTCAAACTATTTTCAAGGCAAGTTTCTTCTGTTCGGTTCATGTACCTTGGAATTTGTGGGAGAAATATAATTGTGCAGCTGATGCTGGATTTCTTGCTGTTTGTGTAACACAATACTGGCACAAGTACATGGTATAATTGCTGGATTATTTCTCTGGAGTACGACGCGAGTGTGAAAATACCAACATCAGGTTAGGGACCACTTTGAAACATTAATCATGGATCTACGAATGGTTCTATGCTGTTCTTGTGTTAGGAAACTGGAGAATATTGAGAAAGGAAGAGTGAAGGACAATGTCATTGCCTTCATCTGTAGTCACAGATGAAACAGGTTATGGACCTTTGAACAAAGAAGTTTCTGGAGATACGTTTTTAAAAAAGGGAGTGTTTCCCATATTCTTACTGTCGCATTTGTGTTCGAGGCAATGTCAGCTAGTACACCTCCAACTTATTGCTGTTCTAATCTGTCAATTTTTGGATGTACTTGAATTGAAGTAGTCAGCACCAGACAGGAGCTTCATGGGTCCATGTCGATAGGGACACATAGCGCAATTTAGACTCCAAGACTAATTTTGTCACTGTCCACCTGAATATCTCCAGTTCCTGCTCTAGTTCACCAACTGTGGGTGTTATAAATTGAAAGTTGCATTCCAATTCCAACGATCCTTAAAGGGGTCCTCAGCTGCTGTCAGATAAAACTGGATTGAGTTTTGGAAACATCTTTCTGGCAGTTACTTGTCGTCTTTCCATCTGACACATTTTAAATTTTATATATTCATTGCAGTTTAGCACTTATATTACCTGTTGCTCTGCAGTGTTGTCTTTCCAACACTTTCCATCGAAGATACCGCTGCTGAAGCCACTTGATGAGATGCTGTACAACCTAGTCTCTCATCTCCAGATTGCCGTGTAGCCAACTATAAGCATATTTTGCTTTGCCAGTTTGGGAGATGCAATGACAAGTGACAATGCAGTATCTTTTCAGGACAGTTGTATTGCATGTCTTCTGTACATTTACCACACGCAGAGAAAAATCTCCCTACAATAGCTTTCACTTCTCACATTGCTTGTTAGTCAAGTAACTCTTCATCAAAGCAACGAAGTTTACCACTCAAGAATCTAAAGATGCCAAAGAGATATAGTTTTCCAAATCTTTTGTATCTGAATAAATCATATGTGCCCATAGTCCACATTTACATGTTGTAGGAGCAGGCACAATCTTCCTTCTTTTCTGCAATGCTCACATTCACATCTTGTCCTTCTGTAAAGACATATAATTAAAATATATATCCAGCAGCTTTTTGTATAATCCTTCACTTACATCTGAGAGAGAAAAGGGGAGGGGTAACACATGTCACACATGTCTCAGAGAAGTGGTAGTTATGTAGATGCTATATTGCAAATTCTACGTAGCTTACATTTTTTAGAGTCGTTTCTGTCCTGGCAGAGAAGGAAGTGTTTCACCAGCAGCTGCTACAAGTCTAGCAAGCTTGTTCTTATTTTGATGTTTTTGTTGAATCTTTATTTCAGATGGAATAATTTTTTATTCACGATTATATCACCAAATACTGTTCCCAAGTGAGAGTGGGACATTAAGGATCTTTAATGATATCTTGTTATCAGTAACACTTCCATCTCATACATGGTTACATGAGAGTTAGTAAGTTAGCTTCTGAGGAGATTGTTGCATCAACAGTAAACATAGGAAAATAATTGTTATTACATAGGCAAATTATGTCGAGGGTTGTTTGTAATCAATGTAAACTGTCTTTACTGAATAAACAAACCAAAAGGATTGGAAACTCCAGAGATTTTAAAATGCAGGTCTATAATAGTGAGATTATGATTTCAGTTTAATTTATATGCATGGCAGTAAAAGTAACATAGTGCAATTTATTTCACTGCAGATACCAGACAGTTAACCAGCACTGTACAGGTTTCATTTACAAAAAAACAGTCACATTTTTCTATCTTTACAATAAGTCATTCAATCCTCAGTTTGGAGGTGATGTGGGGGGTAGGGGGGACACAGACTGAACCCTCACAAAATATCACCAGTTAAACATATAATTCAGCCATAGGCTGTTGACCCACACTTTCTCGACTGCTGTCAGCTTCACAATACCACATGCCAGCACATGGAAAGATTAAAGAATACTTTCTGTTTGTAGAGGTATAGTAGAAAGTTGTGTTTTTTTTTGGCAGTCACTCCCAGCTTAGGAGCGGGCTTGATGGGGGTGCAGTGTGTTGGGACTGATAATAGGACAACTGTGATTTGCTTCCAGTTTTCCAACAACTATCTCATCACTTTTTGTAGCTCTTCCCTTAACCAAGATGGCAACGGCAGACCCAGCCTATAGAACAGCTTGGACAGTTCAATATTGTGGTCCTTGTAGTATCGTGAGAGGAATGTTCTAGACTACAAAGGGTGAGAAAAGAACAAAAAACATCATTAAAACAAAAGAAGCAGTTCATGTTTCAATGCATAAATATGTGTATCTTATATCCAAAAACAGCAATTGTATAAATACATGATTGAATTATCCATGCTATCAAGTCCTTTGCATTCAGCAAAAGCTATAAATGGCTTCACATTCCAGAAAATTAACATATCCAATTTAAATGCACCACGTGATGGTTTTATTTTATTTTAAAGATGTCAATGCGGGTCTGGAAATGAGTAAGATTGACTGCTGTGCAAGACAACCAGGTAAACTTGGACTACCAGTAGCCCAGGAGACTGTGCACCAGCTGGGAAGAAACTGGGAGGGGAACACCAGCAGCAGACTGTAAGTAGGTCAGTGTGGTAGGAAATCAGGAATGGGATCTGATGGGTGGTCAGCAGCAGCTTGGCACTTGGATATGGAAGCAGGAGGAGTGCTCACACCAGCTCTATGTGCAGCTAAACAAAATATGTTATTTTTAATTATCTTTTCTTTTTGGTGACAACATCCAGAGGTCTTTTTAAAAATTGTATGTTCACTTGGTTTTAGGATGTCCACAGCCCATGAGTCAAGAGGAATTGGTTTTCCTTTCAACTTCCTGCCTCTTTTTAAACTTAATTCAGGGAAAGTGAATGTCGCTGACTGGACCAGCAATTTTCTCCCCATCCCTGGTTGTCCTTGAGTGGTTGGTGGTCATCTGTCTCCTTGAACCACTGCAGTCCATTTGCTGCATGTAGACCAAGTGCTTCCAAGTCAGGGTGGTGAGTGACTTGGAGGTGAAGTGTTGAGGCAGTAGTGTTCCCATGTATCTTTTGCCTTTGTCCTTCTAGATGAAAGTGGTCATGGGTTTAGAAAGTGCTGTTTAAGGAAACTTGGTGCATTTCAGCAGTATATCTTGTAGACAACACACACTGTTGCTACTGAGTCAGAGGTGAAGAAAGTGAAACGTTGGTGAATGTGGTGCCAATCAAGCAGGTAGGTTTGCCCTGGGCGGCGTCAAGCTTGAGTGTTGTACAGCTGCACCCATCCAAGCAATTGATCGAAAATAATGCTTGTAGTTTGACCTCCACTGTCATCCTAATAAAATGAACTGAATTCCCTATCAGGTCCAGGATGAAGGTTACTGGTGACCCCTCTGTTCTGAGGAAGGGTCACTGAAACTGAAACGTTAACTCTGATTTCTCTCCATAGGTGCAGCCAGACCTGATGAGCCTTTCCAACAATTTCTGTTTTTGTTTCTGACTTCCGGCATCTACAGTTCTTTCAGTTTTTATTAAGTAAACTAAAGACATGGATCAAGAATCCAGATTATGTGAATTATATGCCCATTATGGCAGTTTAAGAACTTCAATTCACTATGTAAAAAAACACCCACGACCATATAAAAATGATTATGAAAGGGTTGAACTATTTTAAAAATCTAACTGACTCACTCATGATCTTTCAGGAAGGAAACCTTACTCAGTCTTGCCCATATGCAATTTGAGTTGTACACTAACTGGTTGCATTGTTAAAATACAATTTTAAAACTGTGGATGCTGGAAATTATTATTCTCAATGAAGACCTTTGACCTTGAAACATTGACTCTGCTTTCTCCTCACAGATACTGGCAGACCTGCTGAGCTTCTCCAGCAAATTCTGTTTTACTGGCATCATTAATTTTTGAGGGCAACTAGACATGGGTAATTGTTATCCTTGCATGCAACATCCAAATTCCAAGAATGAAAAATTAGCATAAGAATTGACACCAAGATAACAATGCAAAAGCAAAATACTGTTTGCTGGAAATATCAAAACACAAAGGAAATGCTGGAGATGCCCATGTCCATTTTATTTCCATATTTTTAAAAACTGTGGACTGTGATGAGAAAGAACTGTTTCTAAAAAAAAGTGTTTCAAACAGTGGTTGCAGTTTTGAAAGCAAGTAAGCTGATACCCATGACAAGCGTTGTAAGTATCTAAATAAACCTGAAAGAACTGTGGATGCTGGAAATCAGAAACAAAAACAGAAATTGCTGGAAAAGCTCAGCAGGTCTGGTAGCAGTTCTGAGGAAGGGTCACTGGACCCAAAATGTTAACTTTGTTTTCTCTCCACAGATGCTGCCAGACCTGCTGCGCTTTTCCAGCAATTTCTGTTTGTGAATATAAATATCTATTTGAACAAGCAGAAATTTGAAGTTCAGATGATTTGGAGACAAGGGTGTTTACTGATACTGCTCTTGTTGATAACAAGAAGTTGATTGGTCTGTGGACTAGTGACAGTTATAAGTGCCTGCCAACATTGTGTGATTAGTTCTCAGGTGGCTGAGCAGCACAAAGCTGGAAACAAGTTACAGAGATGGAGAAAGAGAGAGGGAGAGAGAGTCAGACAGAGAGGAGATAGAGAGAAAAAGAAGTGAGCATATTGTCGCTCAGCCCAGAAGCTGCCTGTTCTCTGCAGTCAAAAGCTCAGATATAAAACCTGAAGAAAATCAATAACATTTCTTGCAGCAAATGCTATAAGCTGCAGCTTTTGAATCAACAATTAGAGACATTTTCTAAGTGAATCAGTTACTCTGTACTTCTTACAAACCAGAGAAAGATATTTGAATAACAAGGGGTCTGGTCAGCTCAAGCAGGATCATCAGGAAGCAACAATCACTTAAGTGGCTTTCCAGTTTTCCATCTCTCTGAATAATATATTTTCCTATTTGTTTTTCTTGGTTGTGTTTAAGGGGGAGTTTATATGGGGATTAAAGTTTTAGTAATGCTAATGGTTTATATCTGTTTGCCTATAGCTACAGTCTAATTACTTGTCATAAATAATAATTCTTAGTTAGGACAGAAACCTCATCAATGCTTTCCATCAACTTTCGTCTGAAAGTCAGGTATATTGGGGTCCTATTCCTACTTTAAAAAAATAAACTTTTAACAGTTGTACCAAATGTTGATGCACACTTTCTCGACTGCTGTCAGCTTCACAATACCACATGCCAGCACATGGAAAGATTAAAGAATACTTTCTGTTTGTAGAGGTATAGTAGAAAGTTGTGTTTTATTTTTGGCAGTCACACCCAGCTTAGGAGCGGGCTTGATGGGGGTACTGTGTGTTGGGACTGATAATAGGACAACTGTGATTTGCTTCCAGTTTTCCAACAACTATCTCATCACTTTTTGTAGCTCTTCCCTTAACCAAGATGGCTACAGCAGACCCAGCCTATAGAACAGCTTGGACAGTTCAATATTGTGGTTCTTGTAGTATCGTGAGAGGAATGTTCTAGACTACAAAGTGTGAGAAAAGAACAAAACAAATGGAATAGCAGGGTTCAATTTACTGCATGCTACCCCTGTGGGTCAGAACATCATACTGAATGGCAGAGTGGGCTCAAATGGTCACATGTTCTTCTCTTGATGCTTTTTTTATGTTCCAGAAGTTGCCCTCAGAGACGACTCATTCCAGATAATTGAATATCTGACCATGGAAGACTGATGTGATGAACAGATGCCTAGTTTAAATTAGGAGGAGGTCTGTAAAGTGAATGTACTCATTAAGTCACCTATAATACTGAATGAATGTATAATAGTAAACACTTTCTCAAAGATTACGGTATATCAGCCAGTTTTGTACCAACCAATTTCTTCCAATATACAGATATAACTGTCTGTAAAAATATGTTTCATGATTTTCTGCTGTTTCAAAGTCAGCTCCTAGTATGGCCAGGCATGATAAAATTAAACATTTTGAAAGCTGCAGGTACATTCAGAAACTCAGAATGGAAAAATTATGAGATCTTGCATGTGACACATCAGAAAATTGTACTTTGCTACCTATCACGTGCACTTGAGATGTGTAAGGCACCTTGCAATGTGGAAGGAATTAGAAACTCTTCCCATGAGGTTTCCTGGTGTTCCCAAGGGTCTGTGATGTAAATTAAGATAACGATGCATTAAATGTGAAGTAGAATTATGTGTATGTGCGCTCTTTTTAAAACAGAAATACCTCTAAATCCATCGCTGGATACCTTCTGCCTTTGCTTTTCCCCAGACACTTTGTCTTCCCTCCTTCAAGCAACTGGCACCAGAAGCCCTTTTGCGGATCAAACCTGAAATTCATAATTCATCCTTAACTGTTTGTTACAAACAATAGCACCATTTATAGAACACCTCTACAGAGTATTTTTACGCTAACATCTAATAGGGAAAAACAACAAATAAATCTACTTGGCAATTCAATCAATTGCTTCAAATCTCCATTTAGAATATGGTATCACTCCTTACTACGTTCTCATAGTTTGTATTTATCTTGTCAATAACAGAAAGACACAGTCTGACAAAATCAGTTTCGGAAATGCTTTATTCATAAAGTTTATTTCGCTATTTAAAAGGAAATTGAGGTCTGTTTAACGGGTTTAATTGTCAAAATTTTATTTGATAACTTCTACTCTATAACAAATCAAGATTTAAAGCAATTTTTGTTCAGGATAACCTAATGCCAGTATTAAAATGATAGAAAAATGGTGAATGTTGCAAGTAAAATAATGGCAGTAAACTTTGAATCAGGCCCTTCACAGAGTTTAATTCTGATTGTAATGAATCAGTATAATTCAGTACTAACTGTTTGTTTAAGTTCAATGCTGTAAAGTTCTGCCATTTGTGGAGGATATGTTCCCAGAAAATCTAGTAAAAATTGCGATTTTTGTCAATGCCAAATACGGTGATGAGCGAGAAAAATGCACAGTGCACTTTCTGCTCCTGGAAGTAAGTTTTATTTTAATATTTTTCTGTAAAACTGTGGACAAGTGAACATTAGACTTGATGCAGGCAGAATAAGTGGACAATAAGAATTGTGTGGATCAGCAAGTTTGTGAGGTGTGGACCATGAACAATGGGACTTTACCACATACCTTCCTCTCTTCACAACTGCCATTCAAACTTTTGCAATGGATTTTCAAATTTATAGATGTTAGTTCAATAACTAGATCAGCATTTAATTCATAACAATTATGTAACAAAACAATGGTACAATTATATAACTGCGTGACACTCTGCATGAAGCCTCTAGAACCTTATACATATGTAAGAATGTTCCTTGGGGGCACTATTACTGACCACCATTGACACTGTCAAATTTCCTGAAGACATTTTGTTTGAACAATATTTCTTGGCAGTGTTGTTATGATACAAAGAGCAAATTCTGACAATAGGAGAGAATACATTGATTTTTACCATGATTGATTACACTCATCAGAACATACCATTTAGTCATTACCTGTTGTCTGCCAGCTCTAGTGATGCTGAATGCTGGCCTGACTACTGTTGAGCATTGCTAAATTGGCAATGACAGAAAATGTAACACAAATGTCAATACGCCATTGTTAAAAATAGATGTATGAGTTAGGAGCAGGAGTCGGCAATTTGGCCCCTTGAGTTGCTCCATCATTTAATAAGATGTTGTCTGATCTGATTGCGATCTCAACTCCACATTCTGACATACCTCAGAGTACAAACATACACATTCCTCATCTGCCTCATCTGAATATGCCAATCTACTTTGGAACAGCCAATTCCAATGTCAGAAGTCCCTTCTAAGGGAGGGTCCTAGAAATGCTCATTACTCATAGAGAACTTGGTGTAATGGCTCGCCAACCGATTTTCCACTCTGCTATGAAAATTGGCCAAAGAAGAACAATTATTCCTTAGAAAATCTAGTTTATAATCCTGAAATCAATGCTCCTAGTTCCTAAACTGAAATTTATGGGAGGCAGAGGAATTTCTCATTCCAATTCGTTACCCTTCTCATCACCTTCCTCACCACTGCCAGGGAGAGTTTCCTTGTGCCCGAAGTCTTTATTATCTAAAATTGCGAATCCCGGCAGATCTCCAAAAATACGTCCCACCCTCTGCCATTTGCATCCTCCAGCTTCAATTACAAAATGCCATGCCACAATCACTTCTTGCCAAAATGAACTGTGTATACAACGACAAAAAGCATTGCAGAGATTAAAGGTTGCTTGAGGTTGATGTTTGCTTAAGAAAGTATTAATTTAAGAATACAATTTCAGCCAGACAGGCCAAGGGTTAGTCATGTACTTATTTTGTACACGTGAGATACTTGTTATGGATGTGAATGGGGAAACCTGTCGAAGAAGCATATCTCTCTTCTCTCTCATGGATTACAATGATAAAGTTGACACGTAATACCTTTATGTTGTCATTATAATTTGCTGCAGTGGGCCTGAAGCCATGTTCATTATTACTGTGACAATACAGCCCTATGCAAAATCAGAAACTACAGTATCAATATAACATCTATCACATCATTAAAGTCATACTTGCAGATATATTTATATATACGTATATATAAACTTACGTGAGGGCCTGAGAATAATTGTAGTATTGGGAAACTCCAAGGAACTTTTGCACACCATCCATTACTGCAGCAGGATCAGTCCTCAGCTTGTGCCCGTCTATAATGTGTAACTAAAAACAGTTCCAGTCAGATTACATTACTGGACAATAAATCATTAAAATACAAACACAGGATCAAAGTAAGAATATAAATAAAATAGAACTCTCCACAGCTGTTCGGCTGTCACTCAGCAGTGTATTGATTTAGATAACTGATCCACACCCTGTAGCAACAGATTGTGACAGACTGTGGCTAAGACATGGCTGATTTGCTATCATGGGTTAGACTTTCCCTTGGCAGACTGCACTGAATTTACTGCCACCAGTTTGCAAATAAAATTAGCTCCTCTCAATTCAAAATGTTTCCCAGATGGCTGGGAAGACCAAACTTAAATTTGTTAATTCCTGAGAAACAGACATGGTTTAATGTTGCAACTGTGTGTGGGCTGGCAGAACATAGTCCTGGTTGTGTGAAAGTTATAAATACTACTGTGTGACATTAATTTCTTCAAAATAATTGGCTAAAAGCTGTTAAGGTGACAACTGCATTGGTCTCTTGCCAAGTATCAAGTTATAGTGCATGTTTTCTGATGGGATGGAAAATTTGTTCCACACCAATGCAAAAGTTGAAACTTGGTTGTAGCCATGCTGGGTAGCAGAAGTCAAAATGTGAAAAGATGATGATGTTGTCATGATGTTTCACAATGGGTGCAGGGCAATTGTGTCTTATGTGGCAGGCAAAGTTTCAAATTGTACAATTAAAGCTTCAAAAAATACTACTACCAGATTAAGATGAACTTTTTAATAACTTCAAGTCAGCTGTTTTTTGATGTCAGAAAGACCACTGGTTTGTGAGCAGAGCTCAACTGAGCACACATAGCTAGATTAGAAAATGGCACAATTATCTAAAATAACAAGGTGGATGAACACAGCAGGCCAAGCAGCATCAGAGGAGCAGGAAAACTGACGTTTCGGGTCTGGACCCTTCTTCAGAAATGGGGGAGGGGAAGGGGATTCAGAAATAAATGGAGAGAGAGGGGGAGGCGGATGAAAGGTGGATAAAGGAGCAGATAGGTGGAGAGGAGACGGACAGGTCAAGGAGGCGGGAATGGAGCTAGTAAAGGTGAGTGTAGTTGGGGAGTTAGGGAGGGGATAGGTCAGTCAAGGGAAGACAGACAGGTCAAGGAGGCGGAGATGAGGCTGGTAGGTAGGAGGTGGGGGTGACGGTTGAGGTGAGAAGAGTGGATAGGTGGGAGAAAAGACAGACAGGTCAAGGAGGCAGGACAAGCTGGGCTGGCTTAGGGATGAGGTTGGGGGTGGGGAGATTTTGAAGCTTGTGAAGTCCACATCGATACCATTGGGCTGCAGGGTTCCCAAGCGAAATATGAGGTGCTATTCCTGCAACCTTTGGGTGGCATCGTTATGGCACTGGAGGAGGCCCAGGATGGACATGTCGTCCAAGGAGTGGGAGGGGGAGTTGAAGTGGTTCGTGACTGGGAGGTGCAGTCATTTGTCGTGAACCGAGCGTAGGTGTTTCACAAAGTGGTCTCCAAGCCTCCGCAATTATCTAAATGCAACTTTGAGTAGCCTTCTTTCGCAGCAGCTTTAAAGTCTTACAGGTGGAAGTTCATCCCTGTTACAAAACCTGTACTATAAAGGGAGTGAAATTCAACACAAATTCTCCATTTACAGAGGATGGCTTAAGATCAACATCAGATTTGCCCTGCCCCTTTAGTGGAAATGAATACCACTTGCAGGGCAGCAAATTTGGAGACGACCCGCCACCCCTCCCCCAACCTTCCATCTCCTTAAGCTCTGAACTCCTGACCTCTCTCCCCTAACTCAGTCATGTATACTTGCCCGCAGCCCATCATAACTACTCTCTCCCTTTCTAATTGTAGGGTCTTTTCCCTTCCAGGGGTTGTCACCAAAGCTCCTCAGCTGCAAGTCCTGCCACTGGATCAGGTTACCAAGAAGGAACAAAAAAAGGGGGTCCTACTAATTGGCATGAACTCTGCCTCCCAAATAATGCCAATTTCTTTTGCTGTTTGCAGCCTCGGTGCCAAAGGCAATCTAGTGTTTGGCTCTCAAGAAGAAAGGAATAGGTTGGGATCTAGGGTTACCATTCACTTAAACACGTACAACAATTTCCACCAGTACTCAGATATCATGCAAACTATAGCATTGAAGTTGGCATAGCATGGGGATCGAGAAAAATCTTTATGCAGAATTCTTTTGATCATTTTTTGCTCTTAAGTAAACACATCTGTGATACAAAGAAGAGATAGTAAGAACTGCCCATGCTGGAGTCAGAGATAACACAGTATGGAGCTGGAGGAGCACAGCAGGCCAGGCAGCATCAGAGGAGCAAATGGGCCATTTCTGAAGAAGGGTCCCGACCCGAAATGTCAGCTTTCCTGCTCCTCTGATGCTGCCTGGCCTGCTGTGTTCCTCCAGCTCCACACTGTGTTATATGTGGTACAAAGAAGTCTACATAGAAGATCTCGAGTTGCCTGAGATTGATGTCAATTTATGGGAAATCCTTGCTGCTGACTGGGTGGAGGAAAGTTGTCAGGAACCGTATGGGAATAAAAAGGAAAAAGAAATGACCAGATGGTGAAAAGACAGCCGAGTGGAAGGAAAGAAAAACAGCTGACCTCGGGGCAGCACTGTTCTTCTGGGTGAGCTGCAAGTTGGTCTTCCTAGCCAGAATAGACAATATTCAATCCAGAACTGACATATATCACGGGTAGAGTCCATTGTCTCCCAAGACAGACAAACCTCACCACTAAAATCATGGAGTGGAGTAGAAAGCCTTCACAAGCACTTTCACATCTTTACTTGTCTTTCCTGATACCAGGAAAATAGCACAAGGAGATTGAAAAATACACAGGGCTGAATAAACAATGCTTGATATATACAAGATCTATCACATGCAAGCGAAACAGAGGATTTTTGCCTGTTTAAGTGCTCACCTGTCTAGTTGGGTAGTATGTGAGCCACCTTTCGATGTGAGCTGCATACCAGCCAGGCACCAGACACCGATTATGGAGGGCCCGAAGCTCAGGAACAGCCCGCCGACCTGCTGTGATCACCTCATAAAAACTATACCGAAGAGCAGCGGGATCCTCGTGTGCTCGCTGGTGCTGTGGATATCGGAAGAAATGGAAAATTCAAAAGCCATCATGTGTCGGTTAAAGCAAGGGGTGCTCAATGTATTGAAATCTAAGGAAGCAGAATGGCCAAAGGTTACCTGGTACCAGGAGTAGGCCCGATCTGAAGGGTTGATGAGAATGGTGATTATCTTCACCTTTGGCAAGAGGGCTGCAGCTCGCTTTGGCGCATCCTCCGAGTGGAAGTAGTTCGCACTTTTCTCAAACAAAAAGTCTGTGGTTACGTTGGAAGGGATGGGGAAAAAATTCATGTACCTATGAAAATAGAACAGATTGCTATGAACACAGCAAAGTAGCACTGCAGTGGTCTGTGCCTGAAATCATTAACACGATGAACTCTGTTGTGCCTTTGGCTTAACTGCCAACCATGTCCAGAGAATTCTGTATAAAGCTAAAAAGAACTTGCATTTATGCAGTGCTTTTGACAAACACCAGACATGCAAAATGTTTTTTCCTGTTCATTCACATGATGTGGGTATCAATGGCTAAGCTACCATTTATCATCCCTACTTGCCCTTGAGAAGGTAATGGTGAGATATCTTGAATGTTGCAGTTTGTGGGTGTGGAGGAGGATTAAATAGATACAGCCACAGTACTGTTAAGAAGGGAGGCTCCAGGATTTTGATCCAGTGACAATGAAGGAACAGTGGTACAATGTGTGGCTTCGAAAGGAATTTGACTGTAATGGTGTTCTCATGCATCTACTGTCCTTGTGCTTTTAGGTTGTAGAGGTTGCAAGTTTGGATGGGGCTGTCCTACAGAAACGTGAAGAGACACTGACGTTTGATCACTGTTATAATGCAAGAAATGGGAATGGCAAGGCAACTAAGTACATGGTACAAGCTGCTGGTTACAGTCATACAGCACCGAAACAGATCCTTCAGCCCAACTCGTCCATGCTGACCAGGTTTCCCAAACTAACTAGCCCCCACTTGCTTGTGTTTGGCTCATATCTCTCCAACCATTTCCTATTCATGTATCTGTCCAAATGTCTTTTAAACATTGTAACTGTATCGGCATCCACCACTTCTTCTGGCAGTTTATTCCATATACAAATCACTCTCTCTGTGAAAATGCTGCCCCTTGGGTCCTTTCTAAATCTTCCCACTCTTGCCTTGAAATTATGTCCCCTAGTTTTGAACTCTCCTACCCTGGAGAAAAGACCTTTATTATTCATCTCATCTATGCCCCTCACGGTTTTATAAACGTCTATAAGGTTACCCCTCAACCTCTGACACTCCAGGGAAAAGAGTCCCAGCCTATTGACTGACGGATCTGCAAGCGTCTGGGAAAACTTTTAAAACATTTAAAAAGGACTGCTGTCAGTTGAAAGTCTGATTTCAAAGGTTGAGAATTTTATGTGGTATTTTGGTGAACGATAGTGTGGAAGGAACTCTCAGTATCTAGAGCCTGAGCTCTGAACAGGAGTAAAGTGAGGATGACATTGAGGTTAGAAAGGTAAAATAATAGCTATTTTCTCAATACATAAATGTATTGATGATAGTCTGAGGATAATGTAGCCCTGAATCTCCTTGGGTGCGTGAGGACAGTGTTAGACATTGTCAGCTGAACTGTGTGGCCTAAGCAAAGAAAATTGGAGAGAGCCCAAAATCAGACAGCTGGTTCCTGAAAGAGCTCTGGAGTGAGTGGGAATTCTGTCAAATCCAGATCATATCCCAATACAATAAAAGAGATAAAATCAAGGTAAGCATATCCTTCACTGCAAATGTTATCAGATCTGGAATTAACCTCTGACTCATCGCTCGAGGTTCTCCTACTCTGATCTTTAACCGAGCCCCAAGCTTTCAGCTGGGCTACAGTTATTTCCTGCAGTTTAAAAAAAAAATGTGCTCAGAGCAAGCTGGAAACAAGACAGAAGTTCATAAATACTGCATCGCCAGTGAGCTCTGAGCCTTCAAATCTGCAGTAAGTGCATGGTGTTACCTGCCAGTCAAGTGCAAGGATTAGTTATGTCAGTAGTAGCGCTGTAGAGAGATCAGTCCAAGGGGTGAGGCCATGTTCAATCAGGGCAGTCCTGGCAAGTCATTCTGAGGTGTATGCCCTCAAACTGGTCATGTGGCTTATCAGTGGGCTGTCCATGGAGTCCTGGGGAAAGCGGGCAACTCAAATCTGAGGATAGGCATCATTGCACTGGGTTCTAGAGAGAACAGTGACAGTGAGAGCGGAGGTATGTGTTTCTCAGGTTACTATCACTGGCTTCTACAAGAGTGCATCCTCAGCAAATACTGGGCAATTGGCAAAGCTACGTGCTCTGGGGAGGGTGGGGGGGATCACAAGGGATAACAGTGGTCATATTAAAGGGCTGAATGGAAATGGGGGTTGGCTGAAAGGTCACTAGGGTCATTCATTAGCTTGCCATTTTTGTCCCAGAAAGCATTTTACAATTTAGGGCCGCACGTAACCATGATTATTATGCAGTTTGGTCTAATTGCCTCCTTGGGATGTCAGTGAAGGAAATGTAATCAGACAAGCTAATTTAATAGTGTTACCTGTGCTTGCTATTTCTGAATCACCAGCAAAGTTATCACTGTAGATCAACACATTGAAGCTGGTACATTCACACACATTGGGGGGTGGGTGGATTTCGCAGGGGTAGGATGTTGCCATCACAGTGCCTTCCTATCAGAATTCCATCCTCTGGATGTGTAATATCCATATGGAAAAGAATACATACCTCAGAGATCCTTAGTGAGGCATGACAGTGACCTCTTCAAGGAGGCTTCAGGCCACACTGCATCAGGGCATAACATGAGGCTTCATTGTTACTGATATGAGGGCTTACTAAATGAAAGAGTTCCCTTTTATAACATTCCCACAGATTATCTGCTTATGCATCTGAATTTACATTAACATGGCTTCCAT